AGAAGAAGCGATCTGGAGCTGAAAGTTTATGGGAAAAGATCATAGGTAGAATGTCGACGTATAAAAGCATCGAGCTCGACAAAAGGTTAAGAAATACGAGTACTCCGACAGTTTGTACTGTACGAAGTCGAAGAAAGAGGAAAGGTTGCCTTGTTCGAAGATTGCCCACCTGTCACGAATAAGTGACAACAGGTACATACTTCAATTATCATACTCCTACAGCTATAACTAGGACATACCATGTATATACTGGTACAACCTATAATAGAAATAGAACGATGATTGCTTGCTAGGGTAAATATTCCCGCAGCTAGTTTAGCTGACCTCAAACTTCTATTTCTTACTCAAGCTCTTCTGAGAAAGAACGGTCTTATTTGAATCTATAGTGGAAATGATCCACAATAATATATTGTGTACATTTGTAAATAAAATAGTATTGACTACAATTATTTTAAAATTGGTTTTCTGGAGAGTCATCGTTATTATCCTTCAATGGATAATGAACGGACTCGTTACATCTTCATTCGAAAAATATTCACTACTGGATTCGTTAAAAAAAAAAAATTTTAAGAAATTAAGTTTCGTTTTACAATGAGTCTATTCGGAAATTTAAAAATATTTTTATATAAATCAATAGCTATTTTAATTAAAATAATTTATTTTAAATCTCATTTTCTTAATATTATAATTTTTAATTTCGATAATTTTATCTTTAAAAATACAGATTATTTTATTAAATCCGTCTATCTTTATATTAATCCACGGGATATTATTATACGTTACTTCTTGTGTGTTTTTTCTCTTTTTTTTTATATTTTGACAATTTAATTTTTAACACCAATCAAAGACTTTTATCCTCTTTTCCTCGTCAATTTTAATTTTCTTTATTAATATAAAAATTTATTCGGTATGATTATAATAAGTTAAGCAATATATATCATAAAATATTTAAAAACTACTATAATTTAACAATTTAGAACATAAAACATAAAATCGAAACCATATTGAATACTTTAAATAATCTTTATTAAAAGTATTGAATAATTATTCAAGAACATAATATAAAGGGTATACGAATTGAATATTTTGACATTCTTCTAAGTAACAACGTGGAAAATAAACTGACAAATAATTAAAAGAAAAATAAGTTAAGCTAACTATCAATAAATTAAGAACTAAGTAATACAAAACCGTAAGTAAAAGTTTTGTTCATAATAATTTTAATAATTTGTTAAGGAATATTAATTACTTATTCTTAAGTATAAAATAAACGGAATAAAATAATTTTATGTTAAATTTGTTAAATATTGATTCTTTACTTTTTAAACAAAAATTTGTTTCGGTTTTTTAAATTTCGTTTGACTTGCATAGTAAAAGATAACAAAAATTTATTATCATCATAATTTTATTTTTTTGAAATTTTACCTTTTTCAAATATAAAAATTAGAATCAATTGTTTGAAACGATCAATGATATTTTAAATCACTAAAAATTACTTCACAAAATTATTTCATTATTTTCACAAATAAATAGATGAAAATGAGATAATAGTTTTTCTTTCAAACACTATTTAAATATGGTAAACAAAGCTGAAATGAACTGAAAAAAATAAAAATTATAAATTTCTTTATTAAGATATTTTTTCATTATAAATCAATATCAATATAATTTAATCCAAAGATATAATAGAAACTTTTAAAATATTAGAAACATACTCTATGTGATTTTTGGAAAAATCATTTTCTCGAATATGTAAAATGATATAAATATGTTAAAATCAAAGTGGGGCTTATAGCAACATTGTTATAATAGTTATCATAAAATTTAAAGCTGATTATGCTTGTTCTAAACACGTGATAATAATCACAATCAGTTGTAACATGCCAGAATAATAATATAATTATTACAAGCTTATAATTTTAATGTAATATAGTATTAAAACTTAACATTGGAAATAGTGATACACAAATATTCTAGAGTTTTATTTCTAATTTATTATTCTATTTAAATTTTAAATGTTTTTCGCATTTTCTACATCTAGAAAGAAAAATTTTATATTGGCTCATTAGTCAGCAATTATCTTAAATTCCAACTAAAAATTACTAATGTCCAAGGGAATCTCAAAATTTAAAACTAATTATAGTAATTAATTATTTGTTATGATTAAACTTATAAGTATGTATGATTTTTATATTAATAAACACATACAATATATTATTACTTTAGATTAGTTGTTATTAATTTATTGATACCATCGGTTAATTAATATTAATTTTTTAAATCAGATTTGTAATAATCTAAACTCAAGCATTCTTCAAGTTTAAAGAAAATTAAGAAAATTATATTTATATAATACACCATAAATAAAATCAATAATAAATGTTACCAATACAGTCTGTAAAGAAATTATAAACTCAAGTGAATCTTCTCTGTGTTTTAATTTCTTTTCATCCACAGTTCATTGTTGCTATATCTAATGATTTTAATTAGTGTTAAGAATTTATAATGAAATAAACAAGTCTTTGTATTGTATCATTTTAATAAACAATCAAAAATTTTAATTGTTACAATTTTTTGTTGTAAACAATTTATAAACTCAAGTGTGAAAACTGATTATTACAGTTGAATAGAACAATCCATTCAACTGTAATAGTAATGTAAATTAGTATGTGTAACATTTTGGGTGAGTCTAAGAATTAAAACTAAAAAAGTGACAAAAATGCCAAGGGGAATAACCCTAACTGAAAGTGAAATATGAAAAATCTATTTCTTTAAGGGAAAAGGATGGCCAACTCGAAAAATTGCTTCAAAACTTGGTAGATCTCAAACTGCAGTACAAAATGTACTAAAAAAGGGTGACAATTATAACAAAATTAAACGTACAGGACGAAAACCAAGTCTGCAGCCTCATGACCATTGCCGCATTGCTAGTCTTGCAACAAATGAATCATTGTCTACTCGTGAGATAGCTGCAGTTTTACCAACTCCAGTGTCCCACAAAACTGTGTNCTCAAACAGCTTCAGCTAAATAGTAGTCTGAAAATGTACCTAATAAATCTTTATTTTTGACTTTGTTAACAAACAGTCTATTTTTTTTTAATATATATATTTATATATAATTGTAAATTCAAAATTTTGTGTTTTAAATATTTATATGATTTAATTTTTAGGCTTGATGATAATCAACCAGGAACTCCTTTAGCTGATGAACCACCTGTTGATTTAGAAACTGAGTTGGTTACAGATCAGAAATTGTCTACTGATGCATTGCAGAACACATTAGATTCTCCTTATGTTTCATCACTTCCTATTGATGGTGTTTGTATTGAAAGTCAAGGTGATAATTCACTATCTCCAAGAATGGATAATATATCAGGAAACACTATTATGACAATTACTACACGTGGTCCAAAATATATGCATTCGGTAAGTTAAAGCAAAAGATTTCATCATGTTAAAAATTAATGTCATTACATCATGTCATTACATATTAAACACTCTTAAATGCTAGTAAGTTTTAATGAGTCATTCCATAATATATTTTAAGAATATAGAATAGTTTTATATTTTTTTATGATTGGAATTCTTTAAAGATTAAATAAATTATTTTTAAAATTTTAGGGATTCAATACTTACAGTGGATGTCTTCAAAATCAACATTCAAGACAGTATCAGTCACGATCTAATTCTTCTAGAGGACCGTCCCATGGTAAATTTTGAATTGAATTTTAAATATGTGATTTATTGTACTAATTATGAATAAACAACTTTAACTTCAACTTATTACTTTCCTGGCTGTTATATATAACAAAAATAAAGTATGGTGATCAGTCAAAAAATGACCCCCAAGACATTTTTGGACTTAGAACAACTTGAAGCATCAAGAGAAATGCAAAAAAAAATATGGGGATAATTTCTGTGTGTATGGATGCTTGTGTGTGTGGTGCACAGTTTTGTTCACCCTGTTTGAAGATTAATAACCTGGGATATTACATCATCTTGTTAGAACCACATATGCTGCAATCCTTATATCAGTTTTAGGCAAAAGAAAGTTTTGTAACACTGTTCTATAGCAATAAGCAGTCAAAGTAACAACATTTTTGTTGTCATCTTCAAAGAGGGTCCAATGATGTCATCAGCCGAAATTACATACCAGTTACTTTACTAGGGTGAATAGGTCATTCATGAATTAATCTTGGGTTTTCTGTTACCCAGACTGACTATTCTGTTTGTTAACAGATCCACTTAAATCAAAATTATCTTTGTCACACATAATGAAATTTTCAAAGAAATTTGGGTTTTCAATACTCATCTGTAACACTTCTGAATTCCATTCATGGTGGCATTTATGGTCATTTTGCAACTGTAGTATTAAATGAATCTTGTATAAGTGAAACTGCAGATCCTTCCATAAAATTTTCCATGCAGTTGTTGAAGTAGCACCAATTTCTTGTGTTGTCTAACAAAGGTCCTGGATATATATCAACACTTTTCCTCATAGCATCAATGTTTTGTGGAGTAAATCTTGCAGAGTATATTGCATTTGAAAATTATTGATTATACTCTGAATTCTTGGCTTTGAAGTAACGATATATGTCCCAAAATAATCTCAGTTTTCTTTGATGATATATTTTGATTAAAAGTTTTAATAATTATAATAGAGCATTTGATACAGTCTGTAAAGAAATTATAAACTCAAGTGAAATTTCTCTGTGTTTTAATTTCTTTTCATCCACAGTTCGTTGTTGCTATATCTAATGATTTTAATTAGTGTTACGAATTTATAATGAAATAAACAAGTCTTTGTATTGTATCATTTTAATAAACAATCAAAAATTTTAATTGTTACAATTTTTTGTTGTAAACAATTTATAAACTCAAGTGTGAAAACTGATTATTACAGTTGAATAGAACAATCCATTCAACTGTAATAGTAATGTAAATTAGTATGTGTAACATTTTGGGTGAGTCTAAGAATTAAAACTAAAAAAGTGACAAAAATGCCAAGGGGAGTAACCCTAACTGAAAATGAAATACGAAAAATCTATTTCTTTAAGGGAAAAGGATGGCCAACTCGAAAAATTGCTTCAAAACTTGGTAGATCTCAAACTGCAGTACAAAATGTACTAAAAAAGGGTGACAATTATAACAAAATTAAACGTACAGGACGAAAACCAAGTCTGCAGCCTCGTGACCATCGCCGCATCACTAGTCTTGCAACAAATGAATCATTGTCTACTCATGAGATAGCTGCAGTTTTATCAACTCCAGTGTCCAACCAAACTGTGTGGAAAAGCTTGAGAAAGAATAAAACAATAAACTTTATGAAATTGAAGTCCAAACCAAAGCTAACAGAGTTACATCGGTCAACAAGGCTGCAATGGGCAAAAGATCATGTTAATTGGACAACTGAATGGAGAAAAATAGATTTCTGAGATGAGAAAAAGTTTAACCTGGATGGCCCGGATGGCCAAGCATATTATTGGCATGATACAAGAAAGAATCCCAGGGTCAAATTCAGTAGACAACAAGGTGGAGGTTCAGTAATGATCTGGGCAGCAATCGGATATGAAGGAAAAACAATTTGGCATTTATTAATGGGCGAATGAATTCTGAGATGTACCAAGCTATCTTATATGAACATCTAATCCCATTTGGTCCTCTCATTGGTGGTCAAGACTGGATCTATCAACAGGACAATGCATCTGTTCACAAGTCAGCCAGTACTACAAAGTGGTTTTCACGAAAAAATTGAAGTTATGGTTTGGCCAACACATAGTCCAGACCTTAATCCCATTGAAAACCTTTGGAGTCAACTTGTGGCATTAGTTTATCGCCGTGGAAAACAATACAACACATCCGATGAGCTTAAAGTTGCATTGTATAATGCCTGGGACAAAATTAAACAAAGTGACATTCAAAACCTGGTTGATTCAATGCCTAAACGAGTTGTGGAGGTAATTGAAAACAAGGGAGGGTCCACAAAGTATTAAAAACGTACTAAATTACCCTTGAGTTTATAAATTGTTTACAACAAAAAATTGTAACAATTTAAATTTTTGATTGTTTATTAAAATGATACAATATAAAGACTTGTTTATTTCATTATAAATTCTTAACACTAATTAAAATCATTAGATATAGCAACAATGAACTGTGGATGAAAAGAAATTAAAACACAGAGAAATTTCACTTGAGTTTATAATTTCTTTACAGACTTATTGTATTATTCTATTAATAAAAATTAGAATATTTACAAACACATTGATTGTCGCATAATATAGCAAAATGCGCAGACAGGTTCTACATAAATGCTATCTATACATCAGCAATACAGTACTACTGTACAGTAATCATTTGTAATTTAATTAAATTATTGATTTATATATCAAATTCTCATCATTATATTCTTATAATATATGATATAATGCATACTTTGTTCAACCATTTCATTGCTTCTTTTCAGTTAAGAGTTAGAGTGGAGTCTAAGACATATATAGTATATGTGAAGGAAGAACTTGTCTGATTTGCAACATACTGTATTAATTTTAATGTAATTATTTTTTATAATCCCACTATTATAACGCATCAATAATAACATGCGTAAAAAATTCTAGAAAATCTTGATTTAGGAACAATTAAATGATATAAAAAATTACTTATCTGATTATAATTTATATACATTTTGATTGATATATTTTATTACAATTTTAATATATTTTTTAACTTAAACTTTGCCTTAAATAACATTCATATAATTTACGTCTTTAGACTAGTTTAGCGGAGTTCAGCTCTATTGTTGAAATTAAATTTCATCTATGATAATAACGGATATCCAGTATGTTGGATATGTTTTCATTTATCTGTTATTAAAGTAAGAGAGTTTAAATTAAAACTACTCGAGCACTAAACAATTGAACTATAAATAATTTTTAGTATAAGAGAATTATTAAAAATCATAAAGAGTAATATTTTATAATGATAAAATTAATTTTTAGCAAAACATGTTGATTAGCATTCCGATAATTCAAAGTGAATAGGTTCAAACTACCTCGAATTACAAAAAAGTCGAAATATGGACCGCAGTTGAGTTGAGCTGTGAGCTGCACTTTTAGACTGCAGCTGAGAGCTGTGCTAATCGTCAAGATCCTGTAGCTCAGCTTAATTCATTGGTAGAACTCTAGACATAGCTTTCGGATTTTTAAAATTTGAAACTCATTACTTTAACTCTAAAATTAAATTTATGCATTTTTTCATACATTTCCGTACTTTACATATATATCACTAAAATATTTTACTCGTCATAACAAGTAGAATCTGAATTTTTAAGTTTCGGCTGTTTAATTAAAGTTTTATTTATATGGGTATTAATCGAGGACAGAATCTCATTTAAAAATTAAAATATCTAAAAAGTAAATAACATTTAATTTAAACGAAATAAAGCGGATAGTGATTTCAATATAAAAATAATATAAAGATGATATAAATAATTGTTCATTAAAGGAAAGTCGAGTTATTGATATCAATGCTCAATATAATTAACAAGAAAATATGATAAATTTAATTCAAGAAATTATTATTTTTTATTTATATGATATTCTGTTAAATAGAAAGTAATAAAATTTTGTAACAAAATTCTTTTGTCTTCCAATTATTCAGCTATACATATTTATTAATGATTACAAGATTAAAATTGAACATACTGTATTAAATTTTCTTAAACGTACTTATTATCTTTGAAAGAAGTACAGTTTATCAGCTTTTAATTATTCGTAATTTAAAATTAAAATAACGATTATACATCAATTATCGAGAAACTTTTCTTACGAATATTTCTCAAAATAATTATTAATAATCTATAAATTTATTAAAATTATTATTAGTAATACTGCATTTTTAATATTTTGATATTATGTCTATTTATATTTAATTATTGTATTATCTTAATTTTGTTTATTGTATATAGGTTCATCATCTCGGTAATCATTCAAAAAAATTAGACAAGGTAATATTAAGAATATTGCCTTGTCTAATTTTGAAAATAATATTTAGAAATATCGATGATACTGGTAATGATGCTGATGATGGTAACATTAGATTGAATCGAGATTCTTATTAGAATGGTTTATCTTTTTCTTTATTTTAAACATTTATATTTCTTTAGTACTGTATTTATTTATGAGAAATTTAAGAAATGTTTATTATAGACGAATAATAAATAAATATAAATGTTTAAAATAATTTAATTTATATTTTAAACGTAAAGATTTATATGTTTTTTTTATTAAATGTATTTTACAATACTATACTAATTATTTAAATTTAAAATAATTTATTTCTAAATATTTAATATACAATAATGGAATTCGTAAAGTAGAATTATAGGTCTGTAAGTGTTGTATGTGATTCGTAGAACTTCAGAGAGGGTATGCATGTTGTNTGCAATGGAAACGGATAAATTTTATAAAAATTCTGTCAAACTCTCTGTATCTTATATACGGAAAATATTATAAATAAATGGAGACACATTTTAATTTGTCGCTTTTGGAAAAATTATTATAAATATTATTCACAAATTACTCCTCTATTTATCTTGTTATTCATCACTTATTTATCAAATTCTTATGTAAATTATTTATATCTTGAAATATTTATGCAACTTGTTTACAAGTATTTTTATTATTGTGTCGAAAGCTCTGTTATTTATCGATCTTCAATTATTTTATCATCGAAATTTCTCGTTAATAAAAATATGATTTTATTTCAATATTTTCAGCGAAACATGATTAAAGTTTTATACATATATATATATATTTCTATTTATTAAACCAAACTACATTAACGAAACCTTTTACTGTGAAAAGTATTATTTTACTTTGTTTGATATCAATTAAACTAATTTATCTTATTGCTAAGTGGATAATTATAAATTAATCACTGGACGTTCATTCCATTAAACGTTACTGCTTCGTTATCAATTAAAACATATATAATATTTAAATTTCACTTTATTCAATATTGATATTACGAAGATATCAATTAAATCTAGTTTATTTATTTTAAAATTTGGTTTAAAAAATTTAATAATTATTGTTAATTAGTGTTTTTACAATGGATTATTGTTTGTTACAATAAAGTATAAATAAATGATATAATTATATGTTTAACAATTGTTATAACACTTATTAATACCAAAACAAAATAAAACCAAATAGTTTGAAGAGAAAAAAAAATGAAAATTAAAAAGAATACTTTTAAAGAAACTATTTATAATCTCAGTTCTTCGTGTAATGACTAGTCAATGTAGTGTTGTTTTGTCAGTAATGCTACAAACTTAGGAGATTGCCCGGATGTAGAGTCATTTGGGAGCAAGTCCAGTGACGAAAGTTGAGCTCTATTCCCCAAAGATAAGCTTCCTGTTGTTGTTAGTTTGAACATCTTCCTGAGAGATCTGTCAATGAGATTGTGCATTCAACTGTATTTATTTATAATGTGGCATGTTATAAATCGATACAATTAATATATATTATCTTTTTCTGAATCCTGTAGCTTTTTGTTAAACTTTTTTTGGGGATTTCTAAATTGTTATTTCGATACAATTAACGTACTAATTGCTTTGCCCAGAAGAATTAAAAGTGGGTTTTAATTAAACAGCTTCTTTGTTTCTATTCGTGTAATGCTTTTAAACAATGTCAATGCAATATCATTTTTAGGCTCCTAACAAACTTCAAATCAGATTTTAAAGTAATTCTTAATATATGACATTTCAGTTTGGAATAAAACAATAAATATAAGAACAAAAATAAATTTTAATTGTTAAAAAAATAATATTAGTGTCTGTAACAGAAATAATTATTAATATAATTTTTTAAAAATTATTATATAAACTTTTTATTGAGAATAATGCTTCCAAAAATAGATCATAGTACGGTTCAACATTATTTTAGCTCATATATTTTCCTACTATGCATTCAAAAATAAGTTTCCGATAAACAGTATAGGCCCCATTGGTGGCCGAGTACATGAAACTACTGAACATTATTCCCGAATTTACCCATAATAAACGGTCTGTCCGCACGGAGTTTTTTGGGTTTTCTTCATCTAAATAGGGACCAGTTTCACATAGAATGTCCTCCAGGGAGTCATTCCCTTGTCAATAATACTTGTATCGCGTGGCCTTATACCATCAATCAATCCGAACCTGATATTTGAGTAGCAAAGCTTATATTTGTTTTATTTAAAACTTTATCAAAATTGTAAAATTTTTCAAGATTTTGGTAACCTGTTATATTTTTATGCTCCTGTAAGATCCTTCGAGTCCAGATAATTTACATATGCTTCTCTTTTCAACGGCCTGGAAAGTTTAAAATTAATATTTATATATAATATAAAATATATTCAAAAATATTAAATATGAATTATATACACAGTAGAT